GGCAGTGGGGTGGAGCTGTCCTCTCAACACCAGCATCACTGCCACTAACCTGGACAGTGCAGCGGCAAGGCAGCAAGGTCAAGGCTGGGGAGGCCCATTGTTCCAGTATAGTGGTACCTCAGGTTAAGTACTTAATTCGTTCCAGAGGTCTGTTCTTAACCTGAAACTGTTCTTAACCTGAAGCACCACTTTAGCTAATGGGGGCCTTCTGCTGCAGCAGCACCGCTGGAGCACGATTTCTGTTCTCATCCTGAAGCATAGTTCTTAACCTGAGGTACTATTTCTGGGTTAGTGGAGTCTGTAACCTGAAGTGTATGTAACCTGAAGCGTATGTAACCCGAGGTACCACTGTATTTGAATGCTCACAGGATGATGTTATGAGTTGAAGGGAGGGCAGATCCGCTTAAACTGTTGAACTTAGTAAATGTTAGTATTTAGCTAATATCTGGAGTATTAAGAGAAGATGCTGGGCGCAGTGTAAAAATATAGGCTACACGGGTTTCCCTGGTCAGGAGATTGCGTGATAGAGGTGCCATTAAGAAACAAAGAGAGCAGAGTAATGGGCCATTAAGAATGACTGACAAAGCAAATATTGTTGTCCCCCCTGCCCTGAGTAGTGGACAGAGACAAAAGAGTTGGGAGGGGCAGGTTGCCAAGGGTACCAGGGGCATGATGTCAGCACAGGGGGAAAGTGTCCTTCTGCATGTGGCTTTTGGAAAGAATGAGAAGCAAGTGCGGGGCAGAACTCCATGCGGGCTGCCTGGGAGAGGCTGTACCCAGAGACTGGGGAGCTGGCTTCTACTCTGGACCCGAGCTTGCTGAAGCTAAGGGAGAAGCAACAAGAGACAAACTTGGGGTGTACTGTTCTACATTCCCTCCACCAAGGCTAAGATGCATATATGTGTAAATAAAACCATATATCTTAAAGACACTACGGTCTCCGCTGTGCCTCATTTTGTAGGGTACCAGGTTGAGGAAGGTCAACTTACCTCAATGGAGGACTCAAACCGGACTGGCAAGGTTACTGAAGCAGGCAAAAGCAGTCAGGTTGATGCTCCTTCCAAAAATGCTCTAATACAGAAGTGGAGAAGCCAGGGCCCTCCAGATAAAAGAAAGTACTTATTTATGCAGTGCATAGTTAACTTATGAAACTCACTCCCACAGGAGGAAGTGATGGCCACCAACTTGGATGGGTTTAAAATAGGTTTAGACAAATTCACGGAGGAGAAGGCTATAAATGGCTACTCAACCTAATGGCTATGTGATTTCTCTAGTGATGGAGGCAGTATGCCTCTGAATACCCGTTGATGGAGACCATAGGAGGGGAGAATGCTCTTGGGCTCAGGCAGGGGCGCCGACTTATAAAAAATATTGGGGGGGCCCATACCGGGGTCCTGCCCCGGGAAGTTTTCTAAGTTTCAATGTCAGCGGCGCCCGGCAGAGCAGCCCTCTCGGCCACGGCAGCCCGGCTCTTCCAGCCCCTGGGGGCCACCCTCCTCCCTCGCGCACCCGCAGCGTTCCCGCCCGGGGAGGCGGCGCCCCCCGGAGAGGCGGCGGCGGCAGCAGCAGCCGCGCGCGGCCCGGGCTCCCCTCGCCGGCCGCAGGAGCCAAGGCGCGCGACGAGGGCAGCCGAGGAAAGGAGCGCACGGCCCCATCCCGCCCTCGCCACTCACCCTTCTGCAGCGGCCCCGCCGCCGCAGCGGCGACTCCCGCAGCGCCTTTTCCGCAAGGCCCGGGTGACGTCTCCGGCGGAGGACGTTTCCGCTGCGCGCGCCCAATAATTTTCTTAAATTATTGGGGGGGCAGAGCCCCCCCAATAAAATTTTTGAGGGGGCTCGGGCCCCCTCAGGCCCCATGGAGTCGGCGCCTATGGGCTCAGGTCCTGCTTGAAGGCTTCTCAGAGTCATCTGGTTGGCCACTGTGAGAATGGGATGTTGGACTAGATGAGCCACTGGCTTGATTCAACAGGATCTTTTTAAATTGCTGTGGTTTGCAGCTGCCACCAGTCCCAACCAGCCTAGCCAATGGTCTGGGATGATTGGAGATGGAGCCCATCCAGCAATAGAGGTCTCCCCCACCTTCTGCAACATATATGGCCACATCATCAGGTGCTCTTGTTGCTGCTCACGATGAGAAGGGATAATTGACATTTCATTTCGCCTAGAAGGAAAACTGACTGGCCCCTAATGCAAGGCAGCTTTTCAAACTGACAAGGCTGCTCCCTGGAGAATTATGCACTCCAAACGCAGTCCTGGGAACAGTTGCAAATAGGCACTCAGGGCAAAATGTCTCATCAGCATCTCCATGCTTCTTAAAATTGCTGTTGGGCAATCTTTTGTCCTAACAGTGCCGCCTGGGGAAGCCATTCGGAGATGGCAAAGAGCAAACAGCTCACTGTTAAGTGAATCTGATGGGCTTTATTATTCTGCGCTCTGTCTTACTGGTGCAAAAAAGGGGCGGCGATGCTGAAGTCCAAGAGCTGCACCAGGGTGTATCTACTCATCATGGGGCAAGAAAGCCCCTTCGGAGACAAGGCTCTTTTCTGAAAGGTTTGCAGCTATTTCCTTAGTTGGCTTTCTCTGCAGACAGCCGCTATAAATTTTCCCCTATCCATGGATGTGGATGGCAGGCTGGGTTAGCTAGAGTTTGCTGAGGCAAGGGTTTTGTTTGAGGGGCAGCCCATTGAATCTGCTCTCAGAATTAACAACTGCTGCATTTATGTTCCTCGATGGATCTTTCCTAGACTGGAGCGGTTGGGCAGAAATTATCTGAAAAGGGGAGGGCAGGCAGCTAATTAACACCATCGTATTTGATATGCTTTTAGCAATATTTATTACCATTATTATTTCATATTTTGCCACGAGCCACCTTGGAACAATTTGTAACCTGAAAGGTGAGGTATAAAAATAAACTCCGTCTAATGCAGAAATTGCTGATGGCTCAGAGTCTGAACTTCTGGATGATGCTAATAACAGCCCGGAGACCTCCAGGTATAGGGCGGTGTATGAGTTGAATAAATAATAATAATAAGAGAAGGAGAGGACCCTAACAATGACATGTCTAGCAACTTACTCTGACAAAATTGTAGTAAGGCACCCACAGAATAAGGGGGCGCGGGTGGCTCTGTGGGTTAAACCACAGAGCCTAGGGTTTGCTGATCAGAAGGTTGCCGGTTCAAATCCCCACGAAGGGGGATTTGCTCGGTCCCTGCTCCTGCCCACCTAGCAGTTCGAAAGCACGTCAAAGTGCAAGCAGATAAATAGGTACCGCTCCGGCAGGAAGGTAAACGGTGTTTCTGTGCACTGCTCTGGTTCGCGAGAAGCGGCTTAGTCATGCTGGCCACATGACCCGAAAGCTGTACGCTGGGTCCTTCGGCCAATAAACCGAGATGAGCGCCACAACCCCAGAGTCGGCCACGACTGGACCTAATGGTCAGGGGTCCCTTTACCTTTTTTACCCACAGAAATAGAGTGGAAATAGAAGCACTGCAATCTACCAGGGACAGGTGCCAGAAAAATAGGGACTTTTGCCAAGGGCAAAACAAGGATTGTCAGGATATATGACAGTCTGTCAGAGAGACAGTGTGGTATAGTGGCTAGAGCACTGGACAAGGACCTGCGAGACCAGGGTTCAAATCCTCACTCAGCCATGAAGCACACATTGAATGACATTGGACTGGGGCTGTCTCTCAGCCTAGCTTATATAGTCTAGCCAACTATTTAGAATAATGATTTGTGTTTTAATCTGTTTTTAGTTTATGGTTGATTTTAATTTTTGAATGTTTAAAATTTTTGTTCGTAATATTTTTATTGATAACTTTATTAGTTAAATTTGTGTTTGTGTGTGTGTTTTTAAAAAAAACAATCAAGCAGCGTATGAATTTTATGACATAAATAATAAAATAACCTACTGCACAGGGTTGTTTTGAGGATGAATTGAGGAGTGTGGAGGGAGCCTTGCTTGCCACATAGTAGTTTGGATTTGATATCCCGCTTTATCACTACCCTAGGGAGTCTCAAAGAGGCCAACAATCTCCTTTCTCTTCCTCCCCCACAACAAACACTCTGTGAGGTGAGTGAGGCTGAGAGACTTCAAAGAAGTGTGACTGGCCCAAGGTCACCCAGCAGCTGCATGTGGAGGAGCGGAGACGCGAACCCGGTTCCCCAGATTACGAGACTACCGCTCTTAACCACTATAGCACACTGGCTCTTCCGAAGCAAGACAGGATGTAAATGTAATAAATAAACAAATAAATAAAACGTGAGGGGTGGGAAACAGAAGGAAGGGATGAAAAGAGAAAAAAGTGTAATAAGAGACTGATGCAAGTCGATGCAGTTACCTAAGCTTATGGGTTGCTTTGATTGCAAATGTGCACAAATTGACTAAAACTGTTGAATTATGCAATTAAAAATATGCAATTAAAACCTGCTTTTTAAAGGAGATGTTGCCATTTAAATCCCCCGTCTCAAGATAGAAGCCCCTATTTATGTTACCCACTAACCAGCATTGATAATATTTTATTCTAATTTAGAGGCGCCTGTACCTTTAATGAGAACAACAACAACAACCAGCCTGTGCTGTACTGTACTCCTTTGTTCCCCCCGCCCCTTTGGAGACTTTCAGACCAATCCTACAGCTCCACCCAATAATCTTTTCCCCGCCATCTGATTGGTGAATCAAAGCGCTGAGCCACTCGCCTTTTCTCTCCCAGGAGACGCATCGATTGGCGCGGCCGTGTCATTCGTCACAATGCTCCCTCTTCTGATTGGCTGCTTTGCACCGTAGGCTGCAACCTCCACCTCCTGTTTGGGGAAACTAGTTACTTTGATCACCCCCCTCCCCATTACATTGTATCATGTGAATGAGTTACTTTTAAGTGGCGGGGAAAGGGGATGAGTGCTAATCAGCGGGGGGAATCTACTGTGATCTGCAAAGTGAGCCATCATCCTGGAGAGATCTTGAAGGTGAGTACTGGACTTTTGATAGGCGCTCTTTTCTGAAGCATCCTTCTTGGGGGTCAAGAGGCGTCACACCGGAGGGAAGAGTCGGTACTGGAGAAGTTAACATACAGAGCGATGATCTGGATGCAAACGAGATCCAAGTGGGGGCACTGCTGTTACCTCTGAGCAGGTTGCTTTTGAGCCCAGCCTGGACAATCCAGCTCCGACGAGCCCACACGAGAGGTCAAGGGTTTGGAGAGAGGGCTCTGCTAGTTGCTGCCTGCCACGCTTTGCGAAGAGGGTTTAAGCAATTTGCAAATAATGCTGGAAATAACCAGAAAGGCAGGGAGGGCGAGAGAGAGAGAGAGAGAGAGAGAGAGCGCGAGAGAGAGAGCGAGAGCGCTTGATCAGGAGGTGCAAAAACCCAGACTTTGAAAAAAAACAACCCGCAACGCGTCCAAAATCAGTATTGCTGTCTGAGTTTCAAAACTAGAGGTGGGTTCTATTCTCACCCCTATCCCGATTATTTTATCTTTTGATGCAAAACCTTTTGGCCTGCAAACATTTTTTTTTTAATGCATGCCAGCTTAAAAACATTGACATCTTTTTTAATATATAGTCATGGTGTTGGAAGGGAAATGTTTTCTTGCGGATTCGGGTTAAAAACATGAGCTCCTTTGTTTACTACATAGTTATATGATGGCATATGAGGTTAGGATAATACCAGGACAAGCCTAGGGTTCGCCGTATGGGATCTGAGCTTTTGTTTTGTTTGTTTTTTGGTTGTTCAATTAACACCCATCTTTTTTCTTGAGCTGGTTGTTTTAAAATAAACTCCGAAAGTCAATGTGGGGTTATTGTGGACGGATGCGTGCTGTATATGAGTGTCTTTTAATGTGTGTCTGTGGTTTTGAGAGGAGGGAGACTTTACAGAACAGCTTTTAGAAGGTGATGTGGACTGCAACATAATTATTTCCAGAACCCTCTTGAGTGCATTTGAACGCCCAGGGAGACCTTAATTAGGGTCACAGATTGCTGCTTCCCTACACTAAATACCTAGCTTCCCTGCTGATGCTGGTATATGACACTCTGGAATGATGTGGTCTTTGTCTGCTGAGCTAAGACACAGTTTAAAATCCACAATCACCATTCTTTTTTGTTCGCCAAATTCTTCTGAGATAATATATATATATATATATCAAAACACACATGCGTGCATGGAGGTGGGGGATAAAAGAATATATTGTCAGACGATTGTGTGTGAGACTAAGAGACTGCAGGAAGCTTAGCTAACTGGATGTGTTTGTTCATTAATTGCATATAGCTAGAAATACACTGAAAGTGATATTTGGGTCACAGGGTGCTGTTTACTGCAAAAAGCCCCCATTTCCTGCAGTACTTAGCCAAGCCGTTTATAATCTTATTCAGCAGCAAACAATGGATCTTGCTTTGGAGAGCATGCATGCAAGTAAAAAAAGAATGATTGTCTGGAAAGTGACACCCAGAGAACCTTTGTGTGTTGTGTGCCATTGTATGCAGAAGCACCTGATTCAGACTAATTTGGATTGAATTGCTTGCTTTTTAGGCTATGGTTGTTGTTGTTTTACATACTTAGAATCATAGAATCATAGAGTTGGAATAGACCACAAGGGCCATCGAGTCCAACCCCCTGCCAAGCAGGAAACACCATCAGAGCACTCCTGACATATGGTTGTCAAGCCTCTGCTTAAAGACCTCACATCAGGAATTTTCCTTTATCCCTGCTATCTTGATTTATTTTCCAACAGTACATTTTCCAATTCAGTTTTTTTTATGTTAACGAGCGTGACTAACTTAGGTCTGAAATTTCACTGGTGAATGCTGGCCCATCCATGAGGCAGATGGAGGCTGCTGCCTCAGGCAGCGGAATCCAAGGGGCGCTTGGGCAGGCAGGCACCCCTTGATGCCTTTGCAAGAGAAGGGAGGAGAAGAGGCTGTGGTGGCTTCGGGGTCCACTGAGATCTCACAAGACCAAAATCATGCAGAGGCCTCTGCAGGGCTCTTACATTTTTCACTAATGGATGTTTCCAAACATTTATTTTTTTAAGGATAGCCTTGTGCACAAGGCATTGCCATAATCCCCTCCTGTTTCCAGCACAGTGCTGCAGCTCCTGTTGGGATGGGCCCAGGTTCAGTTTCTGACACACCCCCAGTTTATAAGAAAGCACCTCTTGCAGAAGAAGTGGCAAAGAAAACAAAAACCACATTTGAAACCTTGGAGAATCATTGCCAGTTAATAACCTACAAGTCTTGCTGGATCTGACCAAAGGCCTATCCTGTTTACAGTAGAGTGCCCAACACTGGGGCTTGCTGCTTGCAATCCTGGAGGCAGCCTATAAGCAGTGAAGGCTAGTCCTTTAGGGTCAATGGGGCACTGCCCCACCAACCTCAGTCTGCCTCACTTCCCACTTATCACCAGACTAGGAGATGGCATGAGATGTCAGCTTCTTCCTCCTATTTTTGTTGTTGTTTATTCGTTTAGTTGTGTCCGACTCTTCGTGCCCCATGGACCAGAGCACGCCAGGCACTCCTGTCTTCCACTGCCTCCCGCAGTTTGGTCAAACTCATGCTGGTAGCTTTGAGAACACTGTCCAACCATCTCGTCCTCTGTCGTCCCCTTCTCCTTGTGCCCTCCATCTTTCCCAACATCAGGGTCTTTTCCAGGGAGTCTTCTCTTCTCATGAGGTGGCCAAAGTATTGGAGCCTCAGCTTCAGGACCTGTCCTTTCAGTGAGCACTCAGGGCTGATTTCCTTAAGAATGGATAGGTTTGATCTTCTTGCAGTCCATGGGACTCTCAAGAGTCTCCTCCAGCACCATAATTCAAAAGCATCAATTCTTTGGCGATCAGCCTTCTTTATGGTCCAGCTCTCACTTCCATACATCACTACTGGGAAAACCATAGCTTTAACTATATGGATCTTTGTCGGCAAGGTGATGTCTCTGCTTTTTAAGATGCTGTCTAGGTATATCATATTAATATGCCACCTTTTCTCCAAGTAGCACAAGGTGGCATACATGAATCTCTTCCTCCTTCCAGTGGTACCTCTGGATACAAACGAGATCCCATGATGACTTTCTGTGATTTATATTTTATTAGAAGATTTTCATTTATAAAAACATAGTGACCAAAATGAGAAAAAAGTGTGTGAATGAAGGGGGGAAGTCAGTTACATTTCCATACATTAGTATAAAGATGTGTATAACTTATTATGTTAATATATTTAATACATATTAAAAAAAACCCCACCTAATATATTCTGTATAAACTCATTCGAAATATCATTATATTTACTTAGTGAAAGTCTGCATCCATAAGCAGTTTGTCCACATGTTGCTAATATTGTCATGTTGTCAAGCCATTGATCATATCTTTATTCGTCCGGTTCATCGGTATCAATCTCCACCATTAGAGCATGTGGAATCCAAAAACTGGGATACTGTGGTCAACAGTATCAAAATCCACCAAGAGATCACGGAGGGTGAGCAGGTTCACACTTCTCCCTCCTCTCTCCTGATAAACGTCATCACCCCGGGTGACCAAGGTAGATTCAGTGCCATGACCAGACCTGAAGCCAGCCTGGAGTGGTTTCACAAACAACACTAATCTGGATAAACAGAACCCATATAGAGAGGGAAACGGGATCATAGTGGCAAATGCCAGCCCCAAACTACACACACTTAGTTGGTCGTGTGCATGGGCTTGGAACATCCAGCCGTAAACTCTGTACATAAGCGCATGTACATTTCATTGTCTCCACACTAAGAGCCAGTGTGTTGTAATGGTGAGGGTTCAGGTCCTCACTTGGTCATTGAAGTCCCCACTTGGTCATTAATCTCACTGGCTGAACCTGGGGCAGTCCTTCCCTATCTACCTATCTACCTAATGTACCTCAGAGAATTAACATGAGGATAAAAGGCATGCACTTTGTGGGGCTTCCCTTGGGATTGGTCTAGAAGGTGCAGCTTGGATAGGATGTTGTGGCCAGGTTGTCAAGTGGAACACCTGGATGTGCATATTACACCTGCGCTGAAGGAACTGCAGTGGCTGAGGATCAGCTAGCAGGCCATGCTTAAGGTACCTGTTATTAACCTATAAAGCCCTCAACAATTCAGGACCAGGTTGCCTGAAAGACTCCTTGCCCCTGTATAGACCTGCAAGATCACTTAGATCAGTATTTCCCAAACTTGGAGTTCCAATTTTTTGGGGGACTTCAACTCCCATCCTCCCTGGCCACTGGTCCTGCTAGCTAGGGATGATGGGAGTTGTAGTCCAACAACAGCTGGAGACCCAGGTTTGGGAAGCACTGACTTGGATCATCTAGGGAAATTCTACTCATGGCACAGCACTCTACAGAATATCATAGGGCAGTGACACAGAAATGGGCATTTCCAGCTGTTACCCCTGGTCTGTGGCATGCCCTTCCCTCTGCCATACATGTGGCAACAACCATTAGCTGTCTTGTGAAAGCTTATCTCTTTGTCCAGGCTTTCCATGAAACATAAGATGCTGCTGCTTTGTTGGAGTTTTTTTTGGTTGTTGTTCCATTTCTGTTTAATGACAGTCTTTGCTTTTCTATTGTATACTGCTTAGAGATCTTTAAAAATATTATAAATGGCTTTGAATAAATCAAATAAAATGGGTGTGTTGGCAGAAGGCTGGAGAGATACGTATGCTAATAAGCTCATGAGCTGAAAGATGGGATACAAAGGTTGTTGTTGTTTAAAAAAGAAATTGTGATTAGCATGTATTACTGAAACTGCTGCGTTTTTAACACTTGGCTATAGTTTTTCAGTTATCCCTACAATGATCCTGTAAGGTAGCGAGCATGACGACTCTGAAATCACCGGGGGGGGGGGGCGGGGAGGTTGAGCATGAGAGCTGCTATCAATTTCTGGAGGCAGTCCATGGATTCCTGCCTGAGATGAGGTCTGAACCAGGGCCACCCTGGATAAAAAGCTCCCTTCTCTCCACCAGTGTGCTTCCTTTGATCTAGTTAAAGCACAAACTGTGAGCCTCATCTCCATAATTCCAAAGCAATTTGCTGGTTCATCAACTTCTTAAGCAACAATCAGAGTCGGGAGCAAGTGGAACAAGATAGACAGGACCAGGTTAAATGTGTGGACAGGCCTACAATTAAGGACGTGCCGCAGAACGGTATATACTCTGTGCTTGAAAATCTAGCCTCTATGCCAAATTGAGCAAGATTTTGGGCCTAAAATATTTAGTTCTGCAGCCTGAGTACAATGTAGACATGTCTCTGTTTTATCCATATCTGTTGTTTTATCTACTAACTTAAAAGAGGTGAATCTTTCCCGCCAGTATTCCTGAAGAAGGCAGCTTGCAGAGAATGTCTGTCGTGTCCTTTTTTTCTAATGGAACAATAAAACTGACTTGTGAAAACTGCAAAAGCTGTAAAACAGTGTAAGAGCAACAGAATAAAACCGTATTTTAAAA